ACTGCTAATGCTACTGCTGCGACGACTAAAATTACGACAACTAAACCTACGATTTTGACTACGATGTACCAAGACCACGACGACGAGATCAACGACGACGGATCTAGATACTAGTTGGTTCCTGAACTTTGCTGATGAACTTAAGCCACCATCAATATTAACCCATATTGTTCAGTATAGATCCCTTTTATGGCAACTTACATGAAAAGCTCCTTAACTGGAACCCTGAAGACAACCCTCAAATACTGCGAAGGCGACCCAGGTTAGCGAGGTAGCCGGAATCGCCAGACTGCAAGGTGACGCTGGTCCTAGGCATGCACCAGGATGGTACCATGGTTATGACTGGGTTCTTGTCAAGGAGGAACTTTGTCGAAGTCAACATAGGAACCCAGTCGAAAATATGCTGGTTTCCTGATTATGGTAACTTAGACTAAATTCCTTAACAAGACTAGGGGGCTAGCGGGGCCATGATGGGCGGGGCCCGGTAGGGTTGTTCCGATGGGGCATAGCAGTACTGGGGTCTCGGTTCTTGGGGTTCGTGGCTTCGGATTTCTGGCCTCCACCGGTCGTATCTGTTGGGGCTTGCGGTCATCGCGTTGGACTTCGGAGGTCGCAGGAAAAAGCGTCAGCGGGCCAGATCGGAGGCCGCGTCTGTAATCGGCCGGGAAACCCTAAACCCCGTAAACCCTCGATAGCCTAAAACCTGAATCCCAGACAATTCCAAGGTGCCATACCCCGAATCCTAAACCCTAAACCCTGAAAGCCCCCGGAGCAACAGGCCTAACAAGAGCGATAAAAACAGAAAGCCAAAGCAACCCTGCTCCCCAAAAACCCAGAAACCCTAAACCCGAAAACCCCAAACCTGGAAAGAATGGTCGAGGGGCTCTAAGTCTGGAAATCCCAGCGCCTCCAAGCCTCCTCCTGCGTTTGGTGCGGGTTTAAGGTGTCGGGTTTTACGTCAAGGATCAAGCCACTTCGTATGTTTTTGGTCATAGATAGGGCCCGAACCAGGAAATTACTGACAATCTAGTTTTTTGAGTTCTTTTGCGCTTCAAGTAATGTTAGAATATGTGACCCTACATGATTCGACTGGGTGTTGGGGATTGTGCGCTACAACCACATGCGGGAGCCCGAAGCAATAATGGCCCTATTCGTTCGTAAGGTTTGCAATGTGCCGTTGGCCTAAGCCTAAACCATGAACTCTACCTGGCATCCAATAAGTCGATTTTATTAAGCGGTCGTATGGGCGGATGATAATTCCGAACCCTGAAAGGTAAGCATTTTTGGGTTGCAGGTAAGCCAACATATCTCCGGGCTTCAGGGTATAAGACCTTGTGGGCAACTTGTGGGTTCGGGCGTTGTTTTGGTCTGGGCTTGGGTTTGGGATCCTTGAGCATCGTCAGCATTTCGGTAAGATTTAGAGTTTCGGGCTTAGGTTTTCAGCATTGGGGTGTTCGAGGGACCCCAAGCCTCCTGAATAGGGATAGCTCGGTCAAGGACCACACTTTATTTGGAGGACCATGGGACTTAGTAAGTAAGTTTATAAGTCCCTTAATTAAGGTCATAAGTATAGTTACCTTAGTTATAACCCTACTTACTAAGTCCCATGATCCTTTACGTAACCTACGGGCGCACTCCGTGCTTTCCAACACAATGCATCACAACGCTATCCCCCAATCCTCTAGTCCTGACTCCTGAAGCCTGAGCCGTGAGAACAAGCGGGGAGGATGAGTGTCATCTGGGCACATATAAGCTTTAGGCAAGCTGCTTAGAAGATTTTGCAGAATGGGCGTGGCGTTTGGGTTAGATGGCCGTAGCACTAGTAGTAGCAGCAGTAGCAGTAGCCGTCATCGTAGTAGAAGCAGAAGTCGTAGCTTGGTACTGTTAATGGTGGCGGTTGGGGTAATAACACTTGTAGCAGTGAGAAACCGTCAACTACACTTCGAACCGCCCCTTGAGTAGAACTCAACCTAGACCAACATTTGACGCCAAGCTGGGGTTAGTAAGAGCCGTAGAAAAATTAGGGTGAACAAGTGTCCGTTTCTAGTGTTTTCGGTTCGGGGTTGGGGGTATTGAAGGTTCAAAAGCGGGCAATCAGGCCTTCTCCACAAGGCCCATCAACGATCATAATCGCGTCGCCTGCTGGGTGATGCCAAACCGATTTCGGGTTTAGGGTTAAGGATTGATGACTGAGGGTTTGGGTTTCGAAAATTGCGGTCCGCCGGGCAACACCAAAAGATTGTGCGTGTGCGCGCTGTGTCTAGCTGTTTGAATTACACAAAGGTGTGCTTGCAAGCATCCTCCTAGCCTGGCTTGAACTTCAAAGTTGGATCTGCAACGGGTTTGCTGTAAACAAAGCAAAACATAAACCACACGAAATGTTCCAGCATGTGCCACGGATTGCCGGCATACTGAGCTCGAGATTCATGATTACTTAAAACGCGTTTATGAGTCCCCGGCTGGGCTTTTGAGTAGCAGCACGAGCAATTCCCGGACCCTACTTGCAAAGTCCCTTGATCACTAAAGTAGAAGAGCTCTCTGCAAGCGCGGTCGCAGCGAGTTGTTCCATGGACCCTGAGCCCACCACCCACATGTTGCAAGAAGCGTTTCCATGTATCGGGTGTGTGTGGATGCGTCGAGCCGAAGACCGGCTGGGCATGTGGTCAACGATACGGAGCGTCGCGAAAGGATTTACGAGTTATAGCGTAGCCGGTCTGAGCAAGGTCAAGGTATAGTAGCAAGAAAAGTGACAAGAAGCTGAGACCTCCTAGCGGGATGGTGCTCTTCAGAAAAGAACCCCGTCTGCGGCATCGGTTCGAAGACGTCCCTTTGCTGGGTTGATCCTACGCCGTCTGCATGAGTCTCATGGCTAACTATCAAACCCTGCAGCATGCCGTGGTTGCCTACTATGTCAGGTTGCAACTGCGGATGCTTTGTTATAGTACTTCGGGGCCAAGTACTTGCCCTGGCGAGATGGATTGTATTTTTGGCCGCGATTTTGAATTTCTCAACAGCTCAACCTCTATTGCCAACACTCAACCCTCAAGCCAGAAACCACAGGTTTCAGCCGAGAACTTCGACTTGAAACGAAGAACAAGTCGCTTATGTGGTAACCAGTAGACTAGACTTGATACAGCATTTTGCAACAGCTCTATCTCACACCACCACTTCCCTTTTGCTCGTCTGCTTCTGCTGCCGGTGCCACAACTACTGCTGTTGTCGCTGCTGCTCCTCAACCCTGAACCCAAACCCTAAACCCCAACCCCAAACCCCAAACTCCAAACCCTAAACCCCAAACCTTAAACCCTAAACCGCCGTTACTACTGCAACCATACTACTACTACTACTACTACTACTACTACTACTACTGCTACTACTAAAACCTGTTACTACTGTGTCTGCTGCTTCTTCCACTACTACAGCCACCACTACCACCAATAGTCACAAGCAGCAGTATGGAAAATAGCCATATCAAAACTAAAGCCCTAAACCCTAAACCCTAAACCCTAAACCCTAAACCCTAAACCCTAAACCCTAAACCCTAAACCGTAGCCGTGTAGAGAGGGATCAAGCCTTGTATAGAAGAGTCGTCAAGCTAGCAAGCAGCTGTGCAGCTGGCGAACTTTTAGGGGTTTAGGGTTGAGGGTTGAGGGTTTAGGGTTTAGGGTTGAGGGTTGAGGGTTTAGGGTTGAGGGTTTAGGGTTGAGGGTTTAGGGTTGAGGGTTGAGGGTTGAGGGTTTAGGGCTCATGAACAAACCTGTACACGAGCAAGCAAGAAAGAGCAACAATGAGCAATGCAGGTTCCTAGGAATGCAGTGACCATCAATACCACCAACCGTACATGCAGCCGTTGCTACATTCCTGTCCGGAACCTGCGTAGATCAAAGAATGTATATCCTCACGAGCACGGCATACACTTGATTGGCTAGCAGCAGGGGTCACTGGGTATGAAGGAGCGGTTCACGTCTAGCCAGCATTAGGGGATAATGCAGAAGCCTAAATTCTTACTACTGCTGATATAGGCCATTCAGGCCCCTATATCACCGGTGCCGAGCATACGATTTCCAGCTAAAAGTTCATGCGCATGTAGCAATGCAAACAAGGTTTGCACAGACCTCAACCCACCCTGAATTCCGACACCCTGAAAACCCTCCAGACTAGATTGTGGATCTTACTTGGAGGATCATGGGACTTAGTAAGTAAGGTTATAAGTCCCCTAATTGGGGTTATAAGTATAGTTACCTTAGTTAAAACCCTACTTACTAAGTCCCATGATCCTTTAAGTAGGCCGCTTGAAGAGTGAACGACACCCCGTCACAGCAAAAGGGTTTTGAACCGAAGGGTGTGAGGTTTAGGGTCTAGTGGAATTAACTGAGGCAGCTAATTGCACCCCGCCACCCCAAACTGCCCAACGCTTGAACCCGGCCTAAACCCCTACACCTTTTGACCTGCACTACATGCACATGCAATCAAACTTTCGGGACCTGAAACTCTTCGATGCATCAACCACGTAAGACCCTTTCTAAACCTCAGACTACTGGGAGGATCATGGGACTGAGTAAGTCGGGTTATAAGTCCCTTAATTGGGGTTATAAGTAATTGTAAGTATAGTTACCATAATTACAACCCTACTTGCTAAGTCCCATGATCCTTTAAGTGGGAGTTTCCGAAAATTAGGGGTACCTTATTTTGGGGGTCCTTATAATAAGGATCCTATTATTTGGGGTACTATATGAGGGTCCCCTATCTTCGGAAACCCTAAACCCTAAACCCTAAACCCTAAACCCCCAAGTAGTGACGGCAAACCTACATCTACTCACTACAATCGCCTGAAGCTTCAGGTAACCCCACAATCACTGCAAACCTTCATAGAACCCTTTTAGGATTTAGGGTTTAGGGTTTAGGGTTCAGGGTTTAGGGTTTAGGGTTTAGGGTTTAGGGTTTCGGGTTCAGGGTTTGGGGTTTAGGGTTTAGGGTTTCGGGTTTAGGGACAAACCAGTTTACACACCCGTAGAAGCCTGATGTAGAACCCGTACAAATCTTCCTTAGAACCTTTCCAACATCCTTACCACGATCTGCGCAGAAGCCCCCTGATCTTTGCGCAAACGCCCAAAACCCGAAACCCTACCCCTCTGCCCTAAACGGTCCAGAGTTAGGGTTCAGGGACCCCTAACTGCTAGACACCCCAAAGCCTGAACCCGAAACCCTTACAGTAATTACAGTACCCTTGTCGTAACCCTGATAATGCCCTTACAGGAACCCTTACACCTAAACCCAAGACCTTAAACCCTAAACACATAAACCCGTAAACCCGTCAATCGGTAAACCCGTAAAACCCCAAAGAGCAGCCTGCGGCTAGGTCGATTCCCTGGATGGTGACTTCGCAGGCGCTGCCCAAGGCACCTTGCTTGAGGGTTTAGGATTTGAGATGGTTTGAGGGTTTACTTAAAGGATCATGGGACTTAGTAAGCAGGGTTATAACTAAGGTAACTATACTTCTAACCCCAATCAGGGGACTTATAGCCTTACTTACTAAGTCCCATGATCCTCCAAGTAGGGTGTAGGGCAAGCGGACAAACTGACCCAAGGTTTCCGTACCTTCTGGGTTTAGGGTTCAGGGTTCAGGGTTTAGGGTTTAGGGTTTAGGGTTTAGGGTTTAGGGTTATGTGCTTATCCATATTTTGTTGGACTTCGCAAGCTTCGGCAGGCTATACTCTTGATGAACGTTACGAAAGTTTAAAAAAGGTTTAGGGCTTAGGGTTTAGAGTTTAGGGTCTAGGGTTTAGGGTTTAGGGCTGCCTGGTGTTTAGTAGGGCAGGGGGGAATGGGTTATAGGGACTACTATAAGGGTCCTTAAGGGTCTATCATAGGGATCCATTGCCCCATTCCCTGTTAAGCACCAGACAGTATATTCTTGATGGATGTTGTAAAAGTTTTCTCAGCCTTCATGGAGATGTTTACGAGCATGTTGTGGCGGCTCAGAGTTTGGGGTATACCTTGACCTACCCAAAAACCCTACTTTTGTGTAGGGTCCCTTTCAAATTCCATAAATTCCCTTTGAGGGTTCATACTAAGGAACTGCAAGCAAGCAGGTTATGGTAGTCTAAGGTAGGGTTCAGAGTTCAGGGTTGACGGTTGAGGGTTCTACGGTTGATGACATAAACCCTGCATTACCTTAGGAACCCTAAACTATGGGAATTATATATATATATAGATATATAGATATGTTTCCTTACTATGGGTAATGCAGGATGTATATCATCAACCGTAGTAAGATCTAGTACGATTTTCGACGGTGCTTGTCTGGGTCTACGGCTTAGGGTTATTAAATGTGGGTTCGGAGCTTGGGATTGCAATGTGAGGGGCATTAAGAATTGGAATGAAGGTACTTTAAGTGTTTATATATATATATACATATATATATATATATTCCCAAAGGAATGTATATTATAAGGAGCCCTAAGAATGCTAGTAGTAATTGCTCCGACACTATTTCGTGTGGTTCACAGTCTAAATTTGAGATTAGGGTCCAGGGTAACTCCGGCTTGAAGCTTAGGGTGCAGGGCTTGGGGTGTAGGAGGGCCGCCTGCGATTTTGGGCTTAGGGTTTAGGGTTTAGGGTTTAGGGTTTAGGGTTTAGGGTTTAGGATTTTAAAACGATACCTACGGATACCTAAACCCTCAACATCCTAAACTGGCCTGAAACCCTTGTTTGGATAGGGCATTGATATTGTTGAGTCTGTACACAGCTCAAGCATCCCTAAACCCTAAACCCCAAACCCTAAACCCTAAACCGTGGAATTTTCAAGTGGAGAATCAAGGGAGGCCCTGCATCCTAAACCTGATTCCCAGGCCTGAGCCGCACAGCTCCATCTATACTGGGTTTAGGGTTCAGGGTTTAGGGTTTCGGGTTTAGGGTTTAGGGTTTAGGGTTTAGGGTTTAGGGTTTAGGGTTTAGGGTTTAGGGTTTGGGGTAGGGTTTAAGGGCTCAAGAGACGCCCCTGCTTGCAAATGCTGCCTTCGGAAAGTCATCGCCAATGCCCGGAAACATAGATAGATAGACAGATGGACAGCTTGTGGGCAAACAGACAGATGGACAAAACCCCTCAAACTCAAACTCCAGACATTTCACCTGTAACTATACTTTCTTCTCTCCTTGACAAACTCCGAACCTGCTCTACAGACTGTATGGCCTCTTGTTGCAGCCGATATAACCCTAAAGGTTTAGGGTTTAGGGTACAGGGTTTAGTTAAGGGTTTAGGGTTTGTAGGATTTAAGGATCCTAAGCCCTCAAACCTGAACCTTGAACGCTAAACCTTAACCGAGACAAAGGGAGACCGGAAACTGCTCACTTCCTTCATAAGGGTTACAGGGTTTAGGGTTTAGGGGTTTTCCAGGCAGCAAAATCAAGGGGTTCAGATGTCATGGCTTGGGTAAGGCGAAAAACCGTGTACTTAAAGGTTCACGGAAGCTAGGTACTAGGGTTGGAAGCAAGGCAACTGTACTTACAACTGCTTACTGCTTCAGTTAAGGTTCCTATGACCTTGCTGGTTCAGTCCTATGAACTTCCAGGTAGTAAGCCCTAAACCCTAAACCCTAAACCCTGAACCCTAAACCCTAAACCCTAAACCCTAAACCCTGAACCCTAAACCCTAAACCCTGCTCGAGAATCAAACCCTACTCCTCAAGGTGGTTGTTCGCTCGAAGGCGCAGGTCGTCGTCGTCTGCAATGGACCATTCACCTTGTGGGTTTAAGTCGGGTCCTGCAAAGGTTCTCTTTAAGTGGTGGAGTTGGGGCCCAGTGATGTGAACCTTCATGCCGTCGTCGGGGAGGTTCCAAATTCGGGCAGCATCGACTGCTTGCTACGACTTCACTCTTGAGGTGGGCCATGTTTCAACAACTCGGCGGAATCGAAAATGCTTGAGCCCAGTAACAAAGCCCTAAACCCTAAAGCGTGTAAACCACAAACCCTGAAACCCTGAACTTCGACGAAACCCTAAACCCAAAAAACCGAAAACCCGAAACCCTCAACTCTAAACCCAAAAACCGAAAACCCTGAACCCGCAACTCTAAACCCCCAAAACCGAAAACCTTAAAGCCTCAATCCTAAACCTTACGGCAAAACGCTCAGTAGCCTTACAGAACTAACGTGAGGGAGCCTGTAAGGCCCCGTGCCGCTTCACGTCCAAAACGGATCTCAGGCCACGTGTACTTAAAGGATCATGGGACTTAGTAATTGGGGTTATAATCCCATGATCCTCCAAGTACTGTAAGGGCCGTAATAGTTAGAATGGGGTTTTGGGCTTTTTTGTAGTATGAATATAATTAGGAACCTTAACGGAATAACATTGGAAATTATTTAGTCTTCTTGATTACGCGGCTGTAAAATGCCCAGAGGTTTAGGGCTCAGGGTTTTCGGGCTTTCGGGCTTAGTGTTCTGGGACTTGGGCTTAGGGTTCTAGATTGCGTGCGTGAGGCTTACCGGGCTAAGCATTTTAGGTGTAGGATTTAAGGGACGATGTCCTTTGACGCTTTGGGATTGGTGTTACTACCCTGACTGCCCCCGATCATCGAGAATCATCACCCGCAGACCCTAAACCCTAAACCCTAAACAGCTTCTTCTACTTGAGAGACCGACCCAGAGCAGGTGCGGCAACACTACACGGTTTAGGGTTTAGGGTTTAGGGTTTAGGGTTTAGGGTCTTTTCGCAAAATGAAGGGTTGTTGCACCTCGATCGTGGATTGCCGATCTTGAGCCACCGGCTCGCGGTTTCCGCTGGCTGCTTTGCCAAGAGGGTTGCGAAGCTCAGCCGACTCCGGGCCGATACATGCGGAGCAGGATCATGATGTTCAACATGGGCCCAGAAAGTGTATCTGGTGTCCGTGTGCACCACCCGCCTGGGGTAGCCCGATCGTTCGCCGTTGGATCATCATCACCATTAGGCTCGCTGAAGTATGCAGTTGAAAGGGAGTCAAGATTCCACCAATCACGGAATACAGAGTCTTACACGTTTGAACAGGGTTACTTGCAAGGGCTCCTTTATACAAGGAGTCTAGTACAAGGATTTTAGGGTTTAGGGCTTAGGGGCCTTCATGGTTTGAAAGGGTCTGAGTATATACTATTGCAGAGCATTATTAACGAGCGCGAACGAAAAGTACTACGAATGATTCACGCAACAACAACTAAATGCCTACATGATTGCCCCGCCCCCCCCCCCCCTCCCCCCNNTTACCCAAAGAGTTTAGGGTTTAGGGTTTAGCGTTTAGGGCTTAGGGCTCAGGGCTCAGGGTTTAGGGTTTAGGGTTTAAGGTTTAGGGTCGAGGGTGTTAGGAACCCTATACAGTCGCGTAAAGTGTCGCTGAACCCCTTGCTCGCTAAAACTCTTGCAACGCCGGTATTGAACAGCTTCCAACATCTTAACCTGTACGACCTCATTGCGAAGGCAGTATTGTAGGGGCCTGAACAATTATAATAGGGGTTGGGGCTCCTGTATACTAAAATTATAATAGGGAACTCCCAAATAGTATAGGTAAGGATTCAGGCCCCTATATTAGTCTACAACCTGATGACGTTCTTGTGACAACCGCTAAAAACTTATGAACTTCTTAAAAATCCTAAACCCTAAACCCTAAAACCATGAAACCCTAAACCCTAAACCCTAAAACCCTGAAGCCCTAAACCCTAAACCCTAAAACCCTAAACCGTAAATCCTAAACCGGCCTTATGCAAGCTTTATACAACCCTCGGGAAAAAACAGTCGAGCTGCCGTCATCAGTCCCACAGCAGCTTTGTAGCTCGAAGGCCCCTTGCAAGAATCCGCCTCCTTGCGAAGCTTGCAAGACAGAAGGGTTCAGGATTTAGGGCACCCCATGCCAAATAGGTGTAGGCTCCAAAATTTTTGGAGTTTAGGGTTTCGGGCTCAGGCTTGCAGAACCATCCTAGCACCTGAAACCCTGAAACCCAAAAACCCAACACCTTAAGCCGTAACCCCAAGCCCCTTGAACCCTTAAAGGAGCCCTTAAAGGAACCCTTACAGGAACCCTTAACGGACTTCTTCAAAGAACCCGGTCCCCGAAACCCCCAAGCACAGGGGTTTTATTTTTTACGGTTTAGGGTTTAGGATGTAGGGTTTGGTTGTAAGACTCCGGTATGCATAGGCTGCCCGGCGAAGCATGGGTTTTGGCCACTCTCTTTCAGGTCCTTCTGCTGGCTGCTTGAAGTGAAGAAGTTTGAGGTTTAGGGTTTAGGGGTTTAGGGGTTTAGGGTTTAGGGTTTAGGGTTTAGGGTTTAGGGCGCTTTTTGAGTGGCTATGAGCTCATAGTTAGTCATAAGGTTTTGTCAGAATTGTCGGGTGTTTTTGGATCCTATGTAAGGGCTGGAATGAGAGTTGTTTTGAGATAAGGGTCCTTTTCGGGTGGCGCGTGGTCCTTACATTGAATATCCTACTTATTGTAAATTGTGCATAACGCACCCGGATCTTGATATCGGATGCTATAGAAAAATGTTGAAAGGATGCTGAAGTAGCAGGATTAGGGCTGTGATATGGGTTTTGGAGAAAGGTTTTGTTAGTCCTTCGTCGGATCATCCGCCTGCGGCCGGCAATAGCCTTAGTTGAAGTTCTGAGAATGACGCAGTCTACGAGACAGGCTGTGCAAGATAGTGCTGTACCTGCTACCTTAAGTTTGTTGGGACTGTTGGCGGTCCTCATTCCAGCAAACCCCTGTTTAAATAGACATGTAGCAACTAGATCCAAACCCTAAAACTTAAACGTTAAACCCTCAATTCGTTTGAACAAGGAGGGCTCCACGAAGGGACGCTGGGCTGAAGAATTCCAAAAAAGCACCCAACCCTAAACCCTCAACCAAAAAGCACCTGCATGACAATGGAAGGATACTAGAGTTTCTAGTTGAAACAAAGCTTCAGTTCGACAAAGTTTCGCGCTCTGAGTCTTTACAAACCCCAGAACCCGGAGCGCACAAACACACCACCTAAACCCAAAGCAACATCCTCAAGACTAAACTCTGAACTTAAACCCTGAACCCTAAACCCTAAGTCCAAAACCGTCTAGACGGGGCAGCAAGATGTCAGGCAGTGACTTCGATGGCCTAGCTGCCCAAGTCTTAGCGTTCAGGGGTTTAGGGTTTTAGGGTTTAGGGCTCAGGGTTTAGGGCTTTGGGTTTTGATTCGGGTTAAGCGCACTGAGGTGTTCGGGTTAGGTTTGGGTTTCGTAGCATCTAGATGGGGAGTAGGGAAGCTGACGGGTTGAACCCTTAACCCTGACCCAAATTCCCGCTTGCCCGCCGCCTCCCTAACACAAATAGCTAGACTCTAAACCCTTAACCCTAAACCCTAAACCCTAAACCCTGAACCCTGAACCCTGAACCCTAAACCCTAAACCCCTAAGCCCTAAACCCTAAAGCCCTAAGCCCGAAGCGGATTTGCAGGCCGCCTGAGGTGGGAC